CAAACAACGAAGGATCAGCCCATGGAGATGGGTGTTTCCAAGATGTCTGGCCAGGGATCCAGATGTTTGGTAGGGAGGCCAAAAATTGAAAAACTGAAGCCCAATAATTGGATTCAAAGGGAATTGGAGTCAAGGGGCAAAAAGTGGGACTTTCATGAATCCAGAACCTCCAGGTCAAAACTGTCTGGAAAGGAAAGAAGAAGCTGATGAAAGGAGAGCACCTGAATCTAGAAAAGTCTCTTTCTGCCTTGCTTTCCTTCTCCCTTCTCACCTCTTAGGCCAGCAATACCATTAGGCCAAGTGGGGTGGCTGCCTCTGCCTCCAGATCTTGTTATGAAAGGGCACTAAATTAGTAGTTTCTGAATTAGTTATTGCTGTATTTCTACTGCCAAGGATGGAAAGTGGTGTTTGTGAAATGATCTGCCTCATGTGCTAATAGGACATGTCTGGCTTTGGGTACCAGATGTGTTGAATTCAGAGTATGGGAGAAGATAGCACCTTTGCTGCTGGTGGTGGGGCGTGCTATGAAACCCCACCATCCATAGGGCAGCAGCACAATACGAAGGATATCCCTCCCACCCACATTCCTAGATGAATCAGTCAATGTGCAAGGACCAAACACAGTGGTGGTATGGAACTGTCTCGCTGGACTTAGCCAAATTGGAAACATTTCCTGCCTTCACCCACCCTGTGATTTTATTCTCTCTTGGCAAATGGAAATCAGTGGAAGACCATCAAAACCATCACCACACATATAATGAGGATCCAGCAACCCAACCTCCCATGAAGGTTGGGAGATAGAGCAAGGGTAGGGTTGGATCCAATACTGAACAGACCCATTGCAAGTTATACTCAACATAAAGCCCATTGATCTCACTGGGTCGACTCCAGGTATGGCAAAAGAAAGCTCCAATGCATCGTGAAGTCCATATGGCGAGCAAGGACTGCCAATGTCATGGCAAGTCATCCGAAACTGGGGGCCCCCTTCCCGGTCTGAGATACACGCATACCCCCTAGATTTTCCCTCCAAAATTTGGATAGCTTTGAAGAATGCATTTTCCGAACAAAAATTAGTATTTCAGAAGTGCCTGTTGAGAGACTCCAGGTGCTCGCTGGCGTTTTGGGCAAAAGGACTCCACCTGCCTGTCCTTGGTCCTCGTGCCAATTACTGTGTATGCAGTCCTGCCCCCTCCTGCATAGTTCTACTGCTTGGGCAGGTGGAGCACAGCTGATCTAACCCCCAGCCCTCCTCCCCACCAGCAAGGTATAAAGTGGGGAAGGAGGGTGGGTTACCAACCAGAGGTAGGCAGCTCCTCTTCTGGTGGCCCTGCCTTCTGCCCCAGCAGCCCCAGTGGGCATCGGTTGCGACTTCTCCCATTGATGTAGAGGCAGTGGCCAGTATCCTAAAGATGTTCCGGTAAGTGGAAAGTTCCTCAGCCTAATGAAGGTGGTGCTGCTTTGGCAAAAGTAACCAAATAGCACTCTGCCTAAACAAACCGGAGCTTGCCCTTGCACAAGGTCAACACATGCACAAGCAGAATGATCCATAGGCAGCATCCTATTTCTAGAGGAGACTGACTGATTCAGTGCGTTGACTTCCCATTCAGCCATTGATTTAGGGGGCCTCCTCTTAGTCATCGAATTATGTCCATGTTGTTGTGCAGGCAGGACCTGCCACTGTGTAAAGGTGTACAGGATAGGGCTAAGAACCTGATGTAGGTTGTATAAACCGAGGCTCTGCACAAAGATGCCACAGACTCACTAGAAATCACTTAAATTCCCCCGAGGGGGAGGTGTCACCCCACTGTTTATTTAAATATCTAACCGTGCGGAGGCGGATGAAAATGTGTGTGGATTATGTACCTGTGCAATAGCATAACGTGACAACTGCGAGTTATCTTGTCATCCGTTAGAAAAGGTAGATTCAGTTTGAGTCTCAGTATGGTTAAAAATTCGTTGTATTTATGGTAGCCGATTCGTATGACTTCCTTTCCCTTACAAATATAGGGTGAAAGTTGGGGATCATAATTAGTTATCTTTAAAGAGTAGGACTACTATACTAATTCCCTGTGTTGAGGTTTCTGCTTGTAAGGAGTTGCTTTGATAAGGTTACCAGAAAGCAGCCCATCCCTAAAATACATGAGGTCTCTCCCCCCTCCCCCCGCGAATGTTAGGAAAATATTTTACAGATACTTAATTCCTTCGTAATATACCACACATACACAAGTTGTAAGTTTGTAAACTAATGGATAAAGTTATGTGCTTGAATTTGGGGGTTAGTTCCAGTTTTAACCATACCTAGAATAAGTCTATAGCTGGCTGGATAGCTCAGCGGTTTAGGTATCTGGCTGCGGATCCAGAAGTTGCGGCTGGATTCTGCCTCCCGGGAGAAGAGCCAGCCTGCTTAGCCATGGGCAAACTGCACAGTCCCGGGATGTCCCCGGAAGAAGGGAACGGCAACCCGTTCCCGAATACTCTCTACCTCGGATCTCTGTAAAGGGTCGCATATGTCAGAAATCAACTTGACGGCACACAGACAACAACAGAATAAATCTAATCTGGATCCCTGTGCATATTTCTAGTTTTTCTTTTGTGTTTATAGCTCCCTGTGCTAGTTTAGATAATCGCATACTGACAGAGGTAGCTCACATCACGTCTAATGGGAGGGGGGGAAGCTATGTTCTTTTCCAGTAATAATCTGTCGTCTTGGTCCCCCTGGAATTCATCCTGACTCCCTTCTTCCTTTCCTGTTTCCAAATGTTAATCGGGAAGGTCCTTGGCACGGGGACCTATTCTGGCCCCATCGTTCTTTAACCCGCAGGTTAATTGATGGAGACCCCCCACGGACCTCAAAGCAAACGGGGGCCATTCGAATCGGGCTGGACAAGCGGCGTGAAATCAGCGTGAAAACGGCTCGCGTCGATAACTGTCAATGCCTAGACGAGAGTCCCGCATATGTCTGTCTTGTAGTTTCTGCCTGCGCAGCGCCTGGACCCAGTTTGAGCGCAGCCGGCGAGAAACTGGGAAGATGATGCGCGCCTTCAGCCTCAGCCGCGGACGGCTCCCTTTCAACAGTGCGCGGCCATTCTTGTAAACAAACAAGCAGCATCCAGGCCTTTGGTCTCGATTTAAATAGGGACTTGTTTACGAGTGTCATCAGTAGGAGGATTAATTAGATACATTTATTCGCGATTTGGCGTCTGGCACCCCCGTTTTCGGAATGCCTTATCACAAGGTGTTAATTGGGGCCAGCCAGGCACTTACGGTTCCATTAAACAGTGTGAGAACTTTTCGCAAGCTCTCTCTCCCCGCCCCCTTTCCTTCCTCTGCTTCTGCGTGCGTGCGCCTGTGGTTAAAAATGTGCAGTGCAAAAATATACAGGTTGCGTGGAAACGCAGCTGCGGCGAGGGAGGAGGGCGGCAACCCAGCCACTGGCAAGCAGGTAGACGAGACTGGGAGGAGAAAAGCGCCCAGGAAACGACGGCAGGTGCAACGGATTTGTCACCAGGGCATCCTCTCGAGCAGGTGTCGCGCCTGAGTCTGTCTCTCCCCCCCCCCCCCAAGGATCTGGTGAGCCTCTGAAAGACGCAGAACGCTTCGGCAAGAGAATGTGGGAGCTGGAAGCCCACACCGCCTGAAAGAGATGGACTCCTCTCGGTCTCTCTCTCTCCCCATATACACGCGGAAGGAGTGTGCCTGTAAATATACATTATTTCTCAGTTTGCGTCATGAATTTGTGTTTTCCAAGGTGCAAAAGATTTTCCGCCCACAACAGTTACTCCTCAGTTCGTTTCTCGCGTGAAAAGCAAAACAAACAAACAAACAAAAACGAATTATGAAACTACACAAGGCGAGCACAGCTAACGAGCGGCGACCCCGTTTTATACAAAAGCCGCCTTGATTTCATTGCCACTTGCTTAAAAGGAAGCCGGCGTTTATTTCGCCCGTGTTTTTCACCGCTCTTCGCCTGCATTCATTCTGTCCGGACGACTCACCTGCCACCGTGGGCGCCTAACATCCCGGTTCAGGCTCACAGAGACGAGACGTCCGGGACCAAAACAAAATCAAAATAAATCTTGGACTGAAACCGATTTGTAGCCCGCGCCGCAAGAGAGCCTCAACAAACAAAGCCTCGCTCTTCAAAAAACGAAACACACCTCACCCGAGTCCCTGAGGACGCGGTGGGCGTCTCGAACCGGAACGCTTCCCGGGAGCTGGAGCGGCTGAAAATCGCGTTTGAAGGCAATTCGAGTTCGCAATCGCCTGCGGTTTGGACTTTAAAAATGACTTTCGCCTTTTAAAAGTGGCTTTAAAAAAAGCGTCCCGGGAATTGGGGGTGGGGGTGGGGTGAAAGAGTATCTCTGCTTCAAACTGAGGGCGCGTTTCAAATTCCCGGGGCGGTTTGTTTTAGAAAGACGCGCGGCGGACGAGGGGGAAAGGCGGGAAGCAAGCGAGGGGCCACGGCGGGCTCCCGTGGGAAGGTATTCTCAAGGCCAGTTCCGCCGTTTTATTTTTAATTAAAGCGAAGCACTAGGAAAAGGCCTCCCAACAAAGCACTAGGGGGGAAAAGAGGCACCTGGTTAACTTAAGTTTTTTCTTCTTCTTTTGCTTGCACTGGGAGTTTTTATTCCTAACCTAAAGAAACGGGGTGCGTGAACATGACCCCGAAAATTCAGCAAGAAAACGGAGGCATCTCTGCGCGTCCGTCCGGATTTCGTTGTGCTCCAAAACCTTGCGAGCCAACTCCCGGCGCTGGATAGTTGCTTCGGAGGGCGGCCCGAATGAAGGCAGGTTTGCTAGAAAGCCCAACCCCGCCACCTCTTAACCGGATTGAAACCAAGGGTGCAGAAGGCGAAGCACAACGGTCCCCCGCTGGCTGCTTTGTTGGAGGTCCGGAGGGAAATTAATCTGGGAGTTCTCTCTCTCTTCCCCCCTCCCCCCGCTAAAGACCAGCGCGGCGGGCTGGGAAGGAGTCGCAGCGGAGTCCGCGGGCAACAGGACTGGGGTGGAAACCTTCCCTCAGCTGAGCAGGATCTGGACCCGGCGGGCCCTCAACTCCCGTCTAGCTTGCCCGGGCCATGTCTGGACTAGCTTTTCGGCTCGCATTCGGCAAGCCACGTTCTCCTAAGAGCCGTCGGAGAATCAGTCCCGGATGCGCAGCGATTTTGCGCCAAGAAGCAGCGGAAAAAAAAAAATCTTACCGGGTTTCTGTGCTGGACTCTGGCGCTTTGGCGTCGTCCAGTGGACCAGGAAGAGAGAAACAAAGAGGCCTAAGCGTCCATCCGTAGGGCTCAGGAATCCTCTCCCCCAGGCTTTGGGAAAGGGTCCCTTCTGAAGGGCATTGCGTGCATTCACGCGGTAGCAACACTTGTGGCTCGTCTGCAGCTTTACCGCCCCCCCTTATGTTGAGACGTTCCTGGAGCAGTTGCTGGAGGTGATTGTTCTCCTGCTCTCCCTTTAAATAAAGACGGACTTCCCAACAGTTAAGGATCTTATGGGGGGGAGAGATGACCCTGACTTCTTATAAACAGTTAAAAGAAGTCTTTCAGCTGTCACTTGGTGTGGTTTTTTTTTCTTTTTGTACAACAGAACAGTAAGCAGCAGCTCCTACCACTGCAACACATTTATTAAAAATCATTTATGTACAGACCACCCACCCCCAATAAAATTAATGCTTTGTTTCTTTAAAGTCCTTTGTCAACCTCAACATCATCTGGTAAGATTATTTACAGACTGAGCAAGAGATACAACACACTTTCCATTTACAACAGCTGAAACACACATTCACTGTCCGCCAAATAAATAGATATTTTAACGTACTCTTGGGATCAGTGCCCACAGTCAGATTAAAAGTCATTCAAATGAGCTTCCAGCACACACCAGCTTCAGACACCCAGCTACACTGCCATGACTAGAACTATACAAAATGTTTTGTCATCTTCTACAATATACCTAGACACGGAGCTGTACATGTAGTACTGTATTTTCCCCTACCTTCATAGGATTCCTTCATTGCCCAAACTTTCTGCCAACATATTTAAAGTCTCTTGGGACAAAGCAAAGTGAGGTTTAAATACTACAACATGAATTCAGTTCTTGCATACATCATGAAGAATTCCTCTGTAGGTAAAATGTCCATTTTGATTATCTCCTAATGTTCAACAATGACAGCAGAACCAGTAAGTTAGTCATTGTTCAATTATGCTCTGAACTCCATCAGGTAAACACGGAGCCATTTGGTTCCGCACTTACACCACAGTCATATTGTACGTCCCTATTTTTCCCCTTCCTTCCCGATCCTTTTGAAAGAGGGCCTCAAGTTAATATCAAGACACAGTTTAGGGCCCTCACTCTCAAACTTCCCTGGGGAACTGGGGCAGAGAAGAGTTTCTTTACAGGGATGGGAGTGGGATGGATGGATGGGGGAGGAGAGCACTACCCTGTTTCTTCCCTTTTCACCTGCAGAAGTCAGTCAAAAGCTTTGGCACCTTCTATAGAATTGCACAACAAATAGTCCAAAAGGTGGACAGGAAAGAGTTCTTTTGGCAGCATTTTATGCTGGAGAGCTCAGCCCCACCACAGAAAATTATTATAGGCTGTCAATTATATTATATAATTATAGATGCCTGGGATCCAGACTCTTAAGAACTGGTATAGAAAGCATAGTAGCCCATGCCTTTGGAAGTCTCTTTGCCATAGTCCTCGGCATTAATGTCTTCACATTTCATTGTGGGAGAATTCTCATTGCTTGATGTGCTTGGGGAGAGTCGCCGACGCTTACAGGCACCAGTGTAGACACCAGAATCATTGGAATCCAGGGACTTTATGGATGGTGGGGTCTCTATCCAGGATGATCCCATTTCTTCTTTCACTTTCTCTTTAGAAAGGAGATCTTCAGAGAAACCAGGAGGGCTTGTCCTGGAGGCCCAAGGTAAGCCTGTAGACATTTTCCTCTGGTAGGAACCTCTGCTCCCCCATCCTGCCATGGAGGAGAATGTTGGGTCAGGGTAATAGCCCAAGGCATGAGACGTCTGCAAGGGGAGGGATTTGATACCATATGGGAGTAAGGTACTCGATGAGTAGTCAGTCTCATAGGAGTTCATGTCCAGTTTGCTAGCTCCAGGCTGCTGGACTGGAGTGACAAACCATCTCTGGGGAGGATTAGTCACTTCTTCAGTCTGCTGTGGAGAGAGGAGGCCATTTGCCTGAGGTACAGTCCTTTCCCCATTATAGAATCTAGCTGGTGGCAGGTTGTTGACAAACTGTTCCTGGAAGAAGGGTTGTACGCTGTACCGGGCTCCTGGGACAATCTGGTGGGATCTAGGAGAATCCGTGGGAGATGGAGTTAATCTGTCATTTTCTGAAGCTGTGTACATGCTACAAATACAAGAGAAAAAGGCTAAGGAATTGTTTTTGACCATTTGAGAGCTATTATTGACAAGCAAGGGAACTTAATGAGGTAGGAGAGCTGACAGGTTGCTGGAATGTGCTTTTCTCTCTCTCTTTGGCTTGAATATGTTAAGTCAACCTACCTAACACTAGTAAGATGATCCTCAGATACTTCTGGCCTTTAAATGTAAACAGCATTTACTGTTCAACGATTTAGAAGAAAATCTGGGAAAAGTGGAAATTTAGACCTCATTCCATGGCAACATTATTATTACACCAATGTCTAAGACCTCATCTTTCTGTGTGTTCTGGTATCACCTGCTGTATACATGTCTCTTCAAGAAGGAAATCCCTTGAGTTCAATGTGATTTATTCTGAGGCACATGTGCTTTGAATGTACATGTTAATTAAGTTAGGATTTAGAAGAACATAGGACCTATGTATCAATTTTCACCCAGATATAATACTAGTTTTTTTAGAAGCACACTATACTGATTTCAGTACAACTTCCTTTTAAGTAGATTATATTGGACATGGTTGCTAATAGCCATCAGAAGGACATATTTATATAGTTTAACCGAATTGTATATGTAGCTGGCTGGATAGCTCAGTGGTTTAGGTATCTGGCTTCAAAGCCAGGGGTTAGGCGTTTGATTCCCCACTGTTTCTCCGGGTAGAAAAGCCAGCTGACGCACATGTACTTTGTATAGTCATGACCAAGCTAAGCTGTACAGTCCCAGAATACCCCAGAAGAAGAGAATGGCAAACCACTGGTGCATTCTCTACTTAGAAAACCCTGCAAAGGGTTGTTATAAGTCAAAATTGATTTGACAGCATGCAATTATTATTATTATTATATTGATTGTACATATAGACAATAGTACTATACTGAGATATGAGAATAGTACTTACGAATCATAGTTGTCCCGAAAGCCTTTTGCGAAGGGATTATGGTCAATTTTAAGCTGTGTGATCTGGAAAGCAATACACAAAATGCTGGTGTCCATTACATGATTCACAGAAAAGAATGACAATTCCCTTTATAATTGCAAAATTTCCCTTTTGGGGAAATTATATATAATATTCTAATTTAAAAAAATATGAAAAAATAATTTACAAGTGTTTATATTAATACTATATTTTTAAAAAATACCTTCTATCTCATTGTATTTCATTCCCCAGTTTTTAAATAGCAATTAAACAGGTGCGGTACATTTTAGGCCAAAAACATTAACATACTGAGCATATTTTATCCTTACATCAGTGTTCTGATAGGCAGTTACGGCTATGAACTGTGTTTCGGGGAAGTTAAATGTCTGGGTCTTAGAGGAATCATTCATATCTTCAACACCATCTTCTGTCACTTCCACAATATGGAGACGAGGCTGATATTTGTGCAGAGACTGCAGAACTATCATCTGGAAGAACAACACCCCAGGTTAGCCTGCAGCAGTCGAAACATTTGTTTGATATGAAAGAGAGGCAAAATCTTAACGTTATTCAACTTTGCAAGCCTCCAATACGGATTAGTTTCTCCTACATACTTTCTGCCCCTTTGTCATTTAAAAATGACAGGGGCTTGCTGTGTTGCAACACCTTCAGAGAACTCTTGAGCTTATTGCAGGCCCAGTTCCAAAAACTCTTCGTAGTCTTCCATCAAGCCGCAGGAGCCTGCACACTGCAGTATTTTCTGTACCAGCCAAACCCCTCCCCACCTACCGGAGAGGTTGGTGCCAAAGTTAAGTGTGCAATCTTACCTGTGTATTATTATTATTGGCCCCTTTGTTATTAGTCAGTTTCAGTTTTCCAAAAGAGATCTCCTGCCTCATCCAGTGTGCTCCAGTATTGGGAGATTCAGGATGAACATAAACTTTGTTGCCTGTTAGAAAAAGGGGGAAGTGGGGGGAGGGGCAATCAGAAGAAGGTATGTTTTCTCAGTTCCTTTCTCATGTACTGCAGTGACCGAGATATGTCCCAAATTAGACCTGGCAGCAAGAACAAACTGAAGACAAGCTTGCACCAGGCAGCACAGTATGGGACAAAAGTAACACTGATTGTATATTTAATGGTATCTTGTACAGCAGCCTTGGTTTTCCAAGAGCTAAAAACTTGGCACGATCCATGATGGTACCAGGAAATATTAGCAGGAAGATGCTGCTCTTTTCATTTTCCGTTCATCTGGAAAAAATGGGGATTGTTACAGATCTTCCTGGCCACCCCCATCCACTGGAATAGGGCTCATCCCTTTGCATTGCTGATACAATAATCTAAAACTTTGCACATAGGCATTGGTGCCCAGTGGACAACTACCCACATAAGAAGGGTCACACACTGGAAGAGAACTTCCCTAATGAAATTCTGTCCCCGGAAGAGCACTGAGCTGCACCGTCTGGATTAAGGAAGACAGGCACTGGTCCAGGCTGAAGCCATAAGGCAAGGCAAGGCTTCTCTCCTCTCATCTCTCCCCTCCTTGGGCAGGCTCTTACCTTGCATGTTGTTGTCGGCTTTGCCGCAGGTCACCCACTTGCCTCCCTGGAAGCGCCAGTGGTTAGGATCCGCCAGCACCACCTCCACAAAGACATTGTAATGGGCCGTGGGGTTGAGGCCCGTGATGTTGAAGCTCAGGAAGGGAAACATACGCCTAGTACAGGGATGAGAAGCGAAGAGCGGCGTTGAGGAAAGGCGAAGGCGGGAGAGCCTGGCTGCAGTGCTGGGCCGGGAGGAGCCCCGCCGAGCCCCTTTGGCAGTGCACTCCGGCCTTGGCTAGCGCCTGGGCCGAGGACAGGAGGCAGATGGCGGCTCCCCTCCTGCGTTTTCTATTTAGAGAGGCGCCAGGAGAGGCTTTGGCTCCAGATCCCTCCTTTTTTCTCTCTCGCTTTCTCCTGCAAGGGTCAGATTTAAACTGGGGCGGAGGGGGGGTGAGGCAGCCATCCGCCCAGCCCAATAGTGGCCTTGCCTCCGAGGAGGCTTCTCTCGCTCAGTTGTGCTAAGGTAGAGAAGTATGTTCTCTCCGCTCCATCACTGACTTGCCAGCTGGGATTCTGAACCTGTAGCCTTAAAGCCTAGTACTTCCTGGAATCTCAGTGCAAAAAAAATCATAGTTCATTGTTTTCTTCTCTGAGAAAATATTGTTTTTCATTATATTCTCCTCTGGAAATTATGTATAATCGTTCATACTTGGATGCCAAGGTTACTTTAGGGTATTGGAATCCACAAGCTGACCTACAAGTGCCCCCTTACCCTACAAGAAACAAAACGAACAATGTTCGTTTGCAAAAGTCGCTTTTAAATCAGAACAGTCCCATTTCTTATTAAATCCTAGAATACAAATTTGCTTGGACTGAGAAATTCAATGGCGTTCCTGCTTAGTTATTTGGATTACAAGAAGTCTGGAGGATCAGGATAGCATTTTTACCTCATGAATTTGGGAATTCAGATGTTAAAAAGAGGGCAAGCAAAATCAAATTGGGGTAATATTTTTTTAAAAAAATTAAATTAATTAATTAATGCTGTGGTGCATGAAATAATTTAATTAATTCATGCACCATAACCCTACAAATATATTCAAAGGCAAAGTTTCTCTTTGTTCAGTGGTGATTCAGACACGTTGACAGAAGATCAGCTTTCACCGCGCAACCCTAAGCATTTGAACTCGGGAATATTTGTATTCAATTGATTTTTTCCCCAGCTAGAGTGGACACATTACACAGGTAAAAAAAAGCAAAGAACAGCGAACGATTTAAAAGTAATTGAATGGAAAATAACGAAGCAGGAATGGGGAGAATTTAGTCGAAATGGTATCACGCAAAAGAACTGGCACGCAGACTTCTAGGCATAAACCGGTTTTTTACCTATAGATTTGCCCCGCCTGCACTTGGTACAAAACTTTCAAAAGCTAACAGACCGATTCCCAGTTCGTGAAAGGCGCACTAACGCTCCCTCGCCGAATCGTTTCCTAAGAAATGCGCCGCTGTTTGAACGCATCCAGAAACCGCTTCCCTCCAAAGCCTAACTTCGGAGAGAGGCGGGAGAGCATCCTTCTTTCCTTTCAGTCGCGTCCACCCACCCCCACCCCCCGGGAAAGGCAGCCGGCGGTACCCAAGCCGGACTGCGGTCGGGATGCCCGAGAAGGCGCTCAGGTCCCCCGACTGCCGCCTTCTCCCGCGCTTCCCAAAGCCAAGCCCGGCTCCAACCTACCTGCCCTGCTTGGTGATGATCATCTCGGTCTGATGTCGGTGGAACTTGAGCCAGAGCGGGCGCTTCCTTCCTTCCTTCCTTACTTACTTACTTACTTACTTACTTACTTACTTACTTACTTACTTT